TGTTGAAAACAGTTGAAGATCTCTTATCATTGCATTCCACTCCTGTTGTACTCTTTCTGTCTTTTATCTAAAGTGGAATGTTTATGTCAGAGAATACTAGACGACAGTGGTTACCTCACATAGGAGAATTCTCCATAGCTTCTTCATCCCTCCACGCGAATGTAATAAACATCAACGCATAATGTATTACCTAATGTGGGGGATGTTATCGTTATACATCGATCGACCGCCGGCGATGCCAAAAAGCGACGTATGCTACTTGTTTATTTATCGAAAGACGAAATTATAAAAGTGCCGAGATCGATTGATTTTGACACAAATAGCCTCCATTAATAATTTCGTTTATCACGTCGAAAAATTTGCAAGTTTTTGACAACGACAAGATTGATTACCTACTTGCGATTCATTCATACTTTCGCACTGTTGTTCGACAAAGCGGAGGGAGAAAGACGTGACGTAGAAAGAAATGCCTTGAGATAAGGAAACGTGAAATATTTAGCCATTTATTAAAGTGTCAAACGCCATTTTAAATGTTTACTTTCCGTATCGTGTCACTGATATGTATGAGCACAGATTTAAATAAAGGTACTAAATCTGTGGTATGAGGCACACGTGAAAGGACACTTTGTGTGTTCGAGTTGCGCAAGTGATAATTTGGTGTTATAAATTCATAAACAGAGTAAATAATTTCGTACACAAGACTTAAATAAGATCAGACGGCTATTTAATAAATCATTTCGTAATTTTAACATTCTCTACGCATTTGTCTGCTTTTTACCACCCGCACGTTAGTAAAGGGAGGTAGGCAGAGTTGGACTGGGTCACTAGGTCAACTGGGTCACTAAATTAAACTGGGTCGCTGAGTCACGTCATACTCTCTTCAGTTAGACCCAGTGACCCAGTTTGACCCAGTGACCCAACTTGACCCAGTGACCCAGTTTGACCCAGCGACCCAATTTCACCCGGAGACCCAATTCGACCCAGTCACCTAGTTTGCTCGAATAACGCAGTTAAGTCAGTGCTCTCAGTTCAAGTGTACAGATTATGAAATAAATGAAATTCTGGTTTGTTGAAAATAATGTTTGTTTGCTTTAATACTGCCGTAAAAAACTTTCCATGCCCCGAATTGTATTAGAATAATGTTATTTCTAAACAGTTCCCTCCTTCGTTTCTTTGCTTCAGGGCTTACCAGTTTGCTTACACGTGTTCATTCACATTTAATTTTTTCTACTAGTTAGCTTAATCCAAATAAATCTTTTCTCTAAATACTTTCATTGACTACTTGACTACAAACAATAAACAAATGCATTTGATTTTTTTAGGTATTAGTTCTCTTGAATGAAATTGGGCTACGTGCTTGTTGCCGAATATTATTGAGGAAGTTTTTTTTTAATTAAAAGTTACTTGAAATTGTTTTGGATGATACCTAACAATAATTTAATTACGGACCCACCGGGTCAAGACGGGTCACTGAGTAAAGCTGGGTCAAGATGGGTCACTGGGTCAAGCTGGGTCACCGGGTCAAGCTGGGCTACAGGGTCAAACTGGGTCACCGGGTCAAGCTGGGTCACCGGGTCCAGCTGGGTCACTGGGTCACTCTATGCTTGACCCAGTCCAACTCTGGAGGTAGGTGCATTGGGGTGAAAAATAACCCCCCTCCCCCAATCTTTTTGACAAAAATACACGTTTTGAAGCACCAGGAATCCGAATCATACAAAATCTCGATGATGTCGGTCCGTCTGTAGTCCGGCTAAACCGCTGAATCGATTGGAACCAAATTTGGTACATTCTATAAACATTTTACTAAAAACTGAACATTTAGCCAAAATCTTGCGGGTCGTACGCAGCAATGTAGCAAGGCGCCAAAAATCATTTACAACACTTCGAAAGCTTAACGAAGGGGGTCATCCATTATCGTAGATATGGACCGAGAAGCAAAGGAAGATTCGATGACCATTTTTCTACAATCATATCACCATTCCATACCCCCCGGTGCTACTTTTGATGGCGTCTTACGGAAAATTGTAGTGAAAGTGGCGAGGCAGGCAGTTTTGGAGGAGAGACAACACCGGGGGGTCTGGAATACCCCCTCATTAAAGGAAAATTCGATGATACACTCATCATTATCACCACGAGACCATTCGTATACTCATATAAATCTATTCTTCGTACACTGAAGGGTATTCCATACCCCCCAGATCCCCCAGTGCTACTTTCGATGGTGTCTTATGGAAAACTGTAATGAGAGTGACGGTGTAGACAATTTTGGGAGAGGGTGCAACACCGGGGGCATGGAAAACCCCCCAGTAGATAAAAATTGGATGACTGGAATCATCATTATCACGATGAGACCATTCGTACTCATATAAATCAACTCTTCATATACTGGGGGGGGGGGGGGGTCCCAGACCCCCGGTGTTAGTTTCAATGGTCTCTTACGGAAAATTGTAATGAGAGTGCATGGTGCAGACAATTTTGGGAGAAAGGTCAAAACCTGGGGCCTGGGGGTATGGAATACCCCCATTAAAGACAAATATTGGATGACACAATCATCGTTATCACCGCGAAATCATTCGTATACACATAAAAATGTACTCTTCGTATACTGGGGGGGGGGGGGGATTCCATACCCCCAAATCCCCCGATGCTACTTTCGATGGTGTCTTATGGAAAACGGTAATGAGAGTGGCCGTGCAGACAAGTTGATAAACATTGGATGACAGAATCATCATTATCACGATGAGAACATTCATTTACTGATATAAGTCTACTCTTCGTATACTGGGGGGTATTAAGACCTCTCGGTGTTACTTTCGATGGTGTCTTACGGAAAATTGTAATGAAAGTGGGTGGTGCAGACAATTTTGGGGGAGGGTGCAACACCGGGGGCATGGAATACCCCCCCAGTAGATACAAATTGGATGGCAGAATCATCATTATCACGTTGAGAACATTCGTTTACTGATATAAGTCTACTCTTCGTATACTGGGGGGGTATTCCATACCCCCCAGACCCCCCGGTGTTACTTTCGATGGTGTCTTACGGAAAATTGTAATGAGAGTGGGTGGTGCAGACAATTTTGGGAGAGGGTGCAACACTGGGGGCATAGAATACCCCCCAAAGATAATAATTATCATCATTATCACGATGAGAACATTCGTTTACTGATATAAGTCTACTCTTCGTATACTGGGGGGTATTCCATACCCCCAAGACCCCTCGGTGCTACTTTCGTTGGCTTCTTAAGAAAGTTTGTAGTGAGAGTGGTGATGCCCACAATTTTGGGAGAGAGGGTAACGCCGAGGGGTCTGGGGTGTATGGATACCCCCCAGTAGAGAAAAATTGGATGATACAATCATCATTATCATGAGGCCATTCGTATACTGTGTGGTATTGACCGGGGGAGGGGGGTATGATTTTCCATACATATATAATTTTTCTTTGGAATGTTTTCCATTGGATTTTTGGGAATATTAGGACGTAAACTAGGATTTTTAGAAATCCTGAAAGCGTTAAGAATATTTGCGACTCTTAGGGGTTTGCCAGACCAATCCATAGGGTATCAGGAATGTTAAGGTTGCCAGGATACTTTGGAACTGATCTCAAGGATCTGGGAGTATCAGCAGTTGGTTTGAGGGATTTTAGGAATCCCGGACTTCTACTCCCTGCTGCCACCAGGTGTGATGGTCAAACGTGAAAGCAAAGTTTCAAACCAGAGGCCGCAATTTGAAATCTACTATATAGTACCCGCCCTCTCCCCCACCCCCACTCTTCCATGCAAGCAGTCGCAAGTTTTCGATACAATTTTTTAGTCTCGCCGCCGTGGCCAACACACTCAATATGAGACCAAATTCATACAGAAATTTGGTCCCAAATTTGGGTCGTTGGTATATCTATCCGGTCGTTTTTATAAAAAGTACGGCCAATAATCAATCCGTTCGAGAGATTGAGATCTCACCGCTGAGACCTCGCCAAAGCTCCATTTTTTATTTAAACTCAAAGTAGCACACGGAAACGCGATCATCGACTGAACAAGCGAATTTCGAAAGATCAAGGGAATATTCCACATTCAGAGATTATTTCGTTTCATGCTTCGCCGCATCAGCCCCCCCCCCCCCCCCCGACCGCCGATAATGTTAATATTGTTCAGATTTCTATGAGATCAAAGGGGGTCTCGGGGGTAGATACATTCGCCTTGCCTTGTAGGCACAGCAGATAGCGAAATCAATTTCTTCGCCGCGCCTCGTTAAAAAAAGGTCTTCGTCGCCTCGTGCGTTAATCAATCATCGAAATAGAACAAGAAACTTTAAAACGGACGGGCAGATGTTTCGGACAGGCTCTAATAAGATGAGAACGCATTTTCGGCTCGCGATTTCCGTTTTCCTTCCACTTTATGTAGAGCGAAACAATAAAAACGTCCGAAAAGAAAAAGGAAATGAACTAGAGGGAGATTTTCCAGAAAATTGTATTTTCAGTTTGTTGAGTCTTTTTGATTACGGTTCGTGACGAGCGTTTTCCCGTTTCTGAGTTTTAATTGCGTTTGGAATTACTTCGTTTGGATTTCTGGATGAAACGCGACGACGATGTTGTTAGTCTCGAGAGAGTGGCGAAAGCTTCGTAGTTCGGGGGATGATGAGGGATGTGGCGTCGACGCTAGGCTGATTTCAATTATTTCAAGTTGACACCGGGAAAACTCGCAGGCTTTCCACGTTCGGGTTTTCGCTGATATCGATATTCGATGAGTTCGCGATTATAAAAATTTCTTCTCCGGAAGAGGGGTGAATTGAAATCGTCAGATATTTGGATTTATCGGTCCCGGCACCCAGAATATTTTATCAACCACCCACACGCATTCTTAAAGTAATCGAGGCGTCCACTTAGGGGGTTCGTAAAAATATGGATCCCGCTCAGATCAGCCCCCCGAGCCGTCACACTGTCATAATGGGTGGGGTTGCTTTTTCACAAAAATGTACACTTCTGAGAGTACTCTTTGTTACAGATGGAACTTCCGAACAGCTCTTGGTGCAGCGATTGGCAGAGCTCCAGGTTAAACTCCAATACCTAGATTCGATGTATCGGGCGCGACAGGAAGAGCTCTTACAGCTGACTCAGCACATCGACCAAATGGGAATAGCGACCGACAACACGTCCGCCGGTTTTACGTTGCCGCCGGCGATCCTTCGGCCCGAAGTAAAGCAGCTGCTCAAGAATATGTCGGGAATGCACGCGGCGAGCGGAATTAATCCGCCGATAATGCTGCGGTTGCCTTCGTCCTTCCACTTTCTTCCGCACCTACTCGACGACCCTTCCAGCCTGCGACTCGCCTATCTGCTATCGAAGGGTAGGACGGGCGTCTCGATCGTGCTCGGTATCCCGACGGTCCGAAGGGAGAAGCAGAGCTACCTGATGGAGACGCTTCAGAATTTGGTCGAGGGGATGAATTCGGAGGAGGCCGACGACGCCGTTCTCGTTGTTTTTATTGCCGAGGTACGTATTAAAGCTTATTATGATACCGTAAAACGAGCCATTAACGTTGCGCGTTCTGGCTTCAGATTACATTATTTATTGATCCTTTTTAAGTGCTGCGTTGTCGCGAGGCTAATTCAATAAAATGTCACTAAAGAGGTAAGTGACATTTTAAAAGAGAAGTCGGATGTTTCTCGAGTTTGTACAGAGACGCTGTTATTTGATTTACAGAACAAAGCATTACATTCGGGACGTATGGGATACTCCCCTTTAATGTACCGGGTGACCCAATAAGACTGTTCCTCGGCGATATCTCGGAAACCGTTCTTCGTATGACTTAGGGGTAAAAAAATTATTGGGTTAATCGGTTATGAAGAATCGCTGGAAAATATTTTCAAGTTCTAAAAATGACCACCAGAGGGCGTAACTGCCATCTTAAAATTTAAAATTGTATTTTCTTTAAATTTTACATAATAAACTAAACATTTTTTTTCACATTTTTAAAGAGAACCAGTTTATCTATCATTTTCGTAAATACAAAAACTCAGTTATTTCAAAATCAAACATGGTGTGGGGCGTTCAATTGTTTTTGCAATAGCCTGCTTTCACTTCTTAACCGTTTGACCGATTGTAACAAATTTGGTATCGTTGAAAAGAGCATTCCTTGGGCAACAAGAATCAACTAAAATATAGTTAATTTAGTTGAATCCTTCTCCGCCAGGAGGCTAGTTTTGACACTATGATCCAAAATCCTAAAAAATAAAAAAATCAAATGGAATGATATGATTTTTTTTCTTTATGAAAAAGTAGCCAAATAACACCTAAAGAGGCCAGTGAAAACCGTTTTTCAAAATCTCGTTCCTAACTTCAAATATAATAAATATGCTTAAATTGTATTTTAAATTTACTTTTGACGTATTTCCGGTATTTGTCGATGGCGCGAAAGATTGTTTGGAAAAGGACCCTAGACTTTTAGGGAAAATTAAACAAATGAAACACGATTCATTATAAAATAATAACAGCCGTAATTTGTAATTATTCTGCTGTGTTTCTTGGTTAGAAATCGGCATTTTAGAAAAGATTACAAATTCAAAAAACTGCACTTTCTGAATGTAAACGCAGCAGAATAATTTACAAATTACGGCTGCTATTTTTTTATAATGCATTGTGTTTCATTTGTTTAATTTTCCAAGGCCTACCTAAAAGTGTAGGGTTCTTTTCTTTCGCGCCATCGACAAATACCGGAAATACGTAAAAAGTAAATTTAAGATACAATTTAGGCATTTTTATTATTTAATTAATTAATCTCATTTTCCCAATATTTGAGGTTGGGAACGAGATTTTGAAAAACGGTTTTCACTGGCCTCTTTGGGTGTTATTTCATATCATTCCATTTGATTTTTTTATAATTTTGGATGTGTCAAAACTAGCCCCCTGGCGGAGAAGGATTCAACTAAATTAACAAAATTTTGCCCAAGGAATGCTCTTTTCAACCATACCAAATTTGTTCAAATCGGTCAAACCGTTAAAGCAGGTTTTTGCAAAAACAATTGAACGCCCCACACCATCTTTGTTTTTGAAATAACTGAGTTTTTGTTTTTACGAAAATGATAGACCAACTGGTTCTCTTTAAAAATGTGAAAAAAGAATGTTTAGTTTATTACGCGAAATTTAAAGAAAATGCAGTTTTAAAATTTAAGATGGCAGTTACGCCCTCTGTCGGTCATTTTTAGAACTTGAAAATATTTTCCAGCGATTCTTCATGACCGATTTACCCAATAATTTTTTTTACCCCTAAGTCATATGACGAACGGTTCTCGAGATGTGGCCGAGGAAGAGTCTCATTGGGTCACCCTGTACATACGAATTCCTAGGTAGATAAGTAAGAACCTTAATTTAGTCGAGCCGCTGATAAACTGCTCCCATCAGGTCTGATGCTCAAACGCGAAAGCAAAGTTTCAAACCAGAGGTCGCAAGTGACGTTTTGTGAAAAAAAAATTTTTTCTTTCCAAAGAATCGAACCCTGGCCGCCCGGGTGCAAAGCCTGGAATCCTAGCACCTAGACCATTGTGGCACACGTTGAAACTTGATTGATTTAACATTTCAAAATTTCGAAAGGAAGTTACTGTCTGTCCACCACCGTCCCGCGTAATCTTCGGCAAGGGAAGTATACCAACTCCGAGTGAACCATGGCCATTCGGGTTATAAGGACAGGGGCTTTGTGTACGAATTCCGAGCAAGGCGAAGGCGCATTCGGCATAAAATTGTTCGCTCAAAAGAAATTAGGAAAATATCGTTTTTTCAAAAAAAAAAAGTTCTCCATGTTGTTCGTGGGTTGTGCCGAACTCGCCTCCGCCTCGCTCGGCAATCTTCGGCGAATGAAGTAGACCATCTTCAAGGCAATTTGGGTTATAAGGACAGGGTGCTTAGTGTACGAATTCCGAGTGAGCCGAGGGCGAGTTCGGCATAATATTGCTCGCTCAAAAGAAGTTAGGAAAATATTATTTTTTTTATAAAGTCGTCGATGTTCGTGGGTTGTGCCGAACTCGCCTTCGGCTCGCTCGGCAATCTTCGGCGGATAAAGTATATCATCTCCGAGAGAACCATGGCCATTCGGGTTACAAGCACAGAGTGCTTTGTATACCAATGCCTAACGAGCCGAAGGTGAGTTCGGCATAAAGAATCTCGATCTAAAGGCGACAGACCGACCTCTTGATTTTAATAAAAAATGGATTTCGGGCGTTTAAAAATTTTGATGCCAGATTTGATTTTTCTCGCTTTTAAAGGAGCTTTTTTAAAAGCTTTCATACGGACTTCCAAAAGTAGAGGGTCACTAATTTCGTTCGCGAAAATTAATCAATCGAACCGTCACGCGGCGCTGATGTCGTCGGCGAATTAAATTAAAATGGAAGCACTCGGGAATTTAAAATGTACCCTACGCCGCTCTTACAATCTGTAACAATTTGTAAAAGTAAATTATAGACTTTTTTAATTCGCTTAGATAAAATATGGCCGTGGGAGGTAGGGAGGCCGTTTTTTGCATCGAAAAATTATTATATCGCCCGACGTGACAAATTGCTTCGCGTAAAAACGTCTTGCTTTTATATTTTCGTATTTTCTCCAATCGCAGACGTCGCTCGGATGGAGCTTTTTATTTTCGCGTTGACGACGCGCGGTTGATTCAGAACGAATGGTAATTGAAAGATACATCGCACAACGAATTCGGCGCTTTTATTTACTTAACTTCGCGAACTTTGAGTGATTTCGGTTTATTGAACTAAGGGACACAATTGCTTACGTGATTTATTTATTTAACTACGAGTACGGATCACTTCGACATAGATATTAAGACTGAGACTAAACGCAATTCAATTTCTTTATATAGCAAATAAAAAGCTTCTACAAAATTCTCGAAGATCGGCAAGGATGACTCACATCCGCTTTTATTCCTTATCCCCGGTGAATCATCCTTTATCGACTTGATGGCGCCTTAAAAAAGTTTGCCACATTATCCTTCTTTATCAGCCAAAAATTAGACTTTATTTATCCACGTCAATTAGTAGACCTTTTCACCGTACTGTACAAACAAGCTCGTTTTGTAACTTCATAATGTAGAATTAACGCACTTTTAATGACCATCATTATAATTAAGTACGCCCTCATGCCCAGAAACGGCGTCGGAATGAGGGCGGAATACGCGTATACAATTCGGCGAGGCGGAAAAAGAATCCACAACGTCGCTGAAATTCAATATAACGTCAAAATGCAGTGATAACAACAACGGAGCAGCTGCCGGTCGGGGCGTTTTTAAATTTTCAACCCTCCAGACCCCCACATAGGTACGTTTTTTCTCCCCTGCGCGTATCGTTATTTACACGTCGCTAATAAAGTACCTGCGCACGTTTTACGACGACGGAATTGGAAGGATTAATTTGCATTTTTAATGCGGCTCTGTTTGTAATTCGGCCGAGAGGGTTGGGCGCCGTTTGTTCTAATCAGAACGTCTTAAATTTAGGCTGTGTATTTCATGTATTATTTATGGGGGGTGGGGGGCGGGAGAGGCGCTTGTTATAGCATGACGTACGTGATCGTGGACGAGATTGACTAAATTATTCATGAGGCTTCTTTCCTTGTAGCGCGCGAGACAATCCATAATTCCTTGTACATTGCACGGTGCATCACTGCTGTATTAGGCTCGGTATTAGGATACCAGAAATGCAATCCAATTTCCACGTGTTCCCCTCATTTCATAAAATTGCATCACGAGAACGCAAGGAAGTCCAATTCCAATTACATTAACAAGCATTATGTTCCCCTGATACAAAGTTCCTTGCGAGAAGTTGTACCAGGATCACAGAAACGCAAGATTAATGACAGATTACTACTTCTTCATTATGGTCTCCGAAAGCAAAGTTCTCTGCGAGAAGTTTTACCAGGATTTCAGGAGCGCCAAAACTACTAATAGATACCTCCTCGTGCATTATGCCCTCCGATTTCAAGTTTAATGGCAAGTCGCAATTAGTACTAGACACCAAGTCTTGCTCAACTGACTGATATCCTATTCTCCTGATACAAAGTTCCTTATTGTATCAAGATAACAGAAGCGCAAGAAGGTCCAAATTAATGATACGCAACTTATGCATTATGGTTGTTCGGCTAAAAGTTGTATCAGGATCACAGGGCGCAGAAAGTTATTAGCGTACACCATAATTTTTGGAAAATGCTTTAAGGGCTGAACTTTGTGGAACCGAACACGGGGAGTCTAGGAGGGGGTGCATCTTCTCTATGTAATATGTTCCCTTGATACAAACTTCACAGCAACAAGTTGTGTCACGGATTACAGGGGCGCAAGGAGGTGCCAAATCTTCTATAGACTCCTATCCTCTGGCAAAAGTCCGTCGCTAAAAATTGTATGAGGATCACAGTAACCACAGCTTTTCTTGAATTATGTTCTCTTGATACAAAGGTTCTCGACTAAAAGTCAAAGAGTTTCAAACTTATTGACAGGCACTTCCACATGATTGACGCAATGTTCCTTGCTAAAATTGCATGCGGTCGGCACTAACGCAAGCGGGTGCAATATGACTGCTGGGTGATAGGGATAGGCATTATGTTCCCCTGATACACGGAGGTGCAAAATGACAGACATTGCGTTCTCTTGATTCCAGATAAAAATTGTATCAGGGTCGCAAGAGCTGAAGGAAGTTCAACATTTCTGAGGGTCTTACGTTATGTTCTCCCGATACGGAACTCCATTTATGTGCCGTTTTGAACCACTACTGTATGAAACAAGTCGAATTTATTTACGAATTAATTTCCCTTCGAGCGATAATAAGTTACGCATAGCCATCCAATTGTTCTATCAGGATCACAAAAACGCGAGAAGACATCTCTACATGTTCTTCTGATACAGCTCGTCATTCGATATTTTTTCCGGGATCACAGGAAAGCAACGAGGTAAAACATTCACTTGCAGACGATCTCGGGAACGCAAGAAGGTGCAAAGTTACCTGGCACAAATTGTATCAGGATCGCAGCAACGCAAGGATGCATTTATTCCTTATCACTTTGTATGTAACGACGAGATTGACCCAGATGCAGACTTATTATGTCCTTATTAGAGGTTTATCTTTTGAAAATTGTTGTATCAGCATCACAGGTGGATGTCTAAAATGTATTGTATTTGTGGAGGAGGAAAATTGACGCCCACGTCCATTTAACTCGAAATGTCTCGTAATGCGGTTTCGCGTAAAATAAAAACAACCATCTCGATGTGCGGAATATTCCGCAAACAAGCCAAAAAGGAATTCGTTACAAGATAACCAATTTCGTTTATTGCATTCTTCCGCGTAACCGAATTTAGAGCTAATAATGTAAATGTCGGAAGTGGAGTGCACTCCGCTACCTTATGTAGGTTTTATTTTCTCGTTTATTGGACAGTTCGCTCGGGAATTCGTCGACATTTGCTTTTGCGGTTCGCGAAAAATAAAAAGTTTTATCGGCACGACGCGATGCAGGATAAACTACGCCTTAGGGGGGGGGGGGGCAATTTTATTAAAAAACTCTAGAAACTTGCGAGTGTTATTGATTAAGTGTAAGTTTGCCGTAACTTTATATGTAAACGTTTCTCTTTGTGTTACAGACGGATTTGGAGTACGTGCTACAGGTTGCCAAGGAGGTTGAGCTTAGGTAAGCCGATACAGTTGTGTGATTACGTTGCGACATTCTACCGAAAATAGAGATTAGAGTTAATGACTTTGGTGATTAATAACTAGTTTGTATTTCTGTGCTGATTGCGCGTTATACAATACAAAGGGCATAGATCTAAAACCAAAGCACTGTAAGGTAATGGATACGCATCCTTTTTCTTCCTTTCGTTTTTTGAATACAGAGTGTTTGTTGTCATGTTACTTGCGCGATATTAAGTCCGAATTGACCACTGGTTAGAGCGATAATGGATAGGTCATCCGATTTTATTTTCAGTAAAAATCGATTTATACAGAGTGTTCTATTTATGACAGCCGTATAATTTCCTGCGACAACGTTGACAGATTTACAACTGTAAGGGAACGATTACTCATCTCAAGCTCGAATCGTGCATTGAATTTTCGAAATAAAACGTAGAACACGGGAAAAACCTTAACAAATGATTTATCTACGGCGATATTGTTCAAATATGAATAAACGGGAGTATTCCCATAGTGATTCTACAACTGCGACTCCCGATCCCGAAGAAAAAAAATGAAAGAAAAACGGCGGCTACTTACAATGCCTCGAAAATTTATGGCGTATATTTAATTTAACAATCTCGCAAAGGATTGCTATATTTTTGCGAACTTCTTAAATCTTTTAGAACTTTGCAAAAGTTTTATAGTTCGTAAACGTACAAAAAGTGATTTAAGGCGTTCAATCGCCTCCGCTTTAAAAAGTTTTAATAAATAAAACAAGGCAAGTTTTCATCTACTGGGTGATCATTTTGGTCTCAACTAATTATTTCCAGAAAACTCCTCGGCTATTATGTGCTCCTAATAGAAACCTTTGTTTTTGTATCAACAAAAACGCGAGAGCCCCCCCCCCCCCCTCTCCCACGATGTTTTACAGATCCTCACACATTTTGCTCTCCCGAGCTTTTTGTTTAAAAGATGCATCATCAGGATCACAGAAACGCCTATTACGTGTTCCTAATAGAAACCTTTGTTTATCCATAATTTCCCAATTACTGAAACGGGAATAATTACAGATTTCAACATTTTTATATCAAGGTCACAGATATCGTGATCTACAAATTTTTGTTTAAAAAATGTATCATCAGGTTCACAGAAACGTGAAGAAGTGAAAACTGTCACCAACTTTCCTTTTCACTGATGCATGCAGCTTTTTGTTGCAAGCATCTCAAACACACAAACAAAAGTGACAGATTTCACGTGTTATGTTCTCCTGATACAACTTTTTGTTTTTAAAATTCATATATCAGGATTCTATAGAATCCAAAAAATTATCGAAAGGCATCTACTTATGTTGGATTTAAACATTGTACCAGAATCATAAAAACCTGACAGGTGAAACGACAATGATAAGACGCATTTTGCCCAATCCTGTTCTCCTGTCAGAAAGTTTTCTTTTACTGAACTACAAGGATCACAAAAAACGCGATAGAGACATCTATTTACGTATTATGCTCCCGTGATACAAAGCTGTAGATTGAGAATAGTTGAATTAGGATCTCAGTAACGTGAGGAGTGCAAATTACACAGGACCACAGAAACATACAAATTCCTGATACAAATTTGTGTTTTAAAAATTGTTGTATCAGGATCACGAACGCGTGAAATGAAAACGCATTTTAGATTGTTTTTTATGTATTCGGATCACAAGAACGAAAATATGAAATTATAAACCGTTATGTTAGGATCACAGAAGCGTGAAGAGGTGAAGAATTTAATGATTAGGCGCATTTTACAACTTGTATGTTAGCCTGTTACCAATTTTCCTTTCTACTAATGTATCGGGATCGTGAGGGCATTTTCTCCCGTCACAAATTATCCTTTCTGCTAAACTGCTAGGATTACAAAAACACAAAAAATATTGACAGGCCTCGCGTGTTCTCTACAGATACAAATTTATGTTTTTATTAGTATTACAGAAACGCGAGAAAGTGAAATATTTAATGACAAGACGCAAACAAATTATTTAACGATACCGCACGTATTATATGTGTCAGTAAGTTTATTTATTTTTCATTTGCCTATTATATGTCAATTATATCTGTCATATGTGATATATGAAGCAGTCTATTACGCCCAAGGGCATAATGAGCGGGCATAATGGATTGTCATCTCATTATGCCCTCAAATGGCCTGTCAAATTGATTGACGGAATTATATTGTCATAAAAAAGATGCAACTTGATTCGTATGGAGCACTTTAATGTTGGGCAAACAATAATCATGACATTTGTATATTGGAAATGCATTCTTTGGAATGATGAAAAATAAAATATTGTATGCACCTCAGGCATTACTCAATATTTAACCCTCGGGCGACTTACAATCCCTCGGGCCGGAGGCCCTCGGGCTCTGTCGCCCTCGGCATAAATATCGCCTTAATGCCCTTGATGCATAAATAACTATAATGGACCTTTTTACTATCATGATCTCCTGATACAAATTTCTATGTTGAGAATGTTCACAGAAACGTCAATTGAAACTTTAAAGATCAGGATCTTATGTTTTCCTGCTACAAAGTTCCTTTTTACGGATAATTAGGATTACAAAAATTCAAAAATATATTTACAGAAACCTCCTCGCGTATTATGCATTTCTAACAGAAACTTTTCAAATTTCGATTTTACTAATTTATCAGGACAACAAAAAACGTAAAATTCACAGATAATGTTCTCCTGATACAAATTTCTGAGATCAAGATCACAGAAACGCGAGCAGCTGAAATATTTAATCACAAGACGCAAATTTCCCCATCGCCGTAGTCTTATCAGGATCACAAAAACGCAAAACACCTCCTCACATATCACATTCTCCTATTTTAAAATATACAGGATGGGTTTTTTTGCATGTTCACTATGGAGATCTCGTAAACCGTAAGAGAGACGCTTAAATGGGGTTTTTACAGACAGAAATAGGGGAGGGGGGAGGTCTATAAAGGTCATAATTTACGAACCTAGTAGTCATTTTTATTATTTGGGGAACCTTGCGGTCTATAATTTCGTGTTTGGTCACCTGCACCTATAAAGACAGAGTAAGATATTCACTCAACCTTATAGTAAATTGCCTAAGAAGTCCTCCAAGAACCTAATCTAGGGTCTTTCCATTTTCCAACATTAATTCATAAGCGCCGAACAGTGTTTTTCGCCGTTTCTTTATCCTTCATGCTTAATAAATGACAGGCGCGTTCTCTGTTTAAAAGTTTTATATCAGAATCACAGAAAGGCAAATAAATATATTGACAGACACCTGCCAACCTTTGTTCTCGTGATAAAAATTCTATTTTGAAAACACAGCAATGTAAAAATCACTTGCAGACTTTCTCTTTAAGGATTATTGTATCAGGATCACAGAATCAAAAACAATTTATTGACAGACACGTGGCATACGTTACCGATTGTTAACTGCAAGCGTTTACATGCTATTTATATCACAGATTTACTTCATTAACCTATGTCAATTATGTTAGTATGCAGTTATTTTGTGAGGATCATCGCACACCCATACAGATTTCCCCAATCTATACATGGTAGTATTACCTCAGATATCAGGGGTGTAAATTACCCTACTTCGTCGCTCCCGATACACTTCTTTGTGAGAAAGAACGTGACAATAACTTTAGTTTAGTGCCGAATGGGGTGCGATCACAAGGGACCTTTAACTAATCTGTCTCGGGCGCCAACGAGCGGTCCTAATTTTCCTAGCATTTGACTTTTACAGTAAGAGCCGCCGTAACTTTTATTATTTTCGAGGGAGCGTAAAAATCCCTAAGAAATAGAAAAGCAAGCCGCAAACATCAAAGTTGTAAAATTCCTTTACTGCCGACGATAAATTTTTTCCCCGTACCGATCGCCGCTTCTTTTTTGTTGCAGATTTCCCGCCCAGATCGAGTCGGGATTAATTGAGGTAATCGCGCCCTCGCCGTCGTACTATCCCGATCTGGATAAATTACGAATCACCCTCGGAGATTCGCGCGAGAGGGTTCGCTGGAGGTCGAAACAGAACTTGGACTTCGCCTTCCTTATGTCTTATTCACAGCCGAAGGGAACGTTTTATGCGCAATTAGAAGATGATATCCTCGCGAAGCCGTACTACATAACGGAGATGAAAAAGTTCGCGATCGAGAAGACGGCGAGGAAGGAGCCGTGGTTCGTGCTGGACTTCTGCCAGCTCGGATTTATCGGTGAGTTTTATTCTCCGCCTTAATTTTGCTGATCCCGAGCCGTTTGTCTAGTGGCCGAACTCCAATTAATTTATCGGGGGCGCTTCACGGCTCCGTGAGCATAATTTTTCTGGAAGATTTTATTGTGCGAGCGAGAAGTAAATAAATTTTATTTATTTGGAGCCCTAGAAGAAGGGGGAGGGAAGCATATGGGGGCGAATAAAGTGTTTTAGATTTTCATAATGTATCCTCTTCTTTTCGTTCTCTTTGTGCGCGAAAGAAAAGTAATTTACTCCGGAATTTTATTTAGAGACGAAACGAGAGGACTAGGAAATTGAAAATGTTAGTTTAAGCAATTCTCCCTAGTTTTAAGTCGAGCGTGAAACAGTTTTAATGGAAATTTCGTAAAGTGACATTAACATATTTTCTACCGCATGTTAGAAAAAACCAAAGCAAACATTTTTGTTGTCGTCACACCAGCAGTAGCGACCTTTACAGGAGGGGGATCATGTAACGGGCCCATTTCCAATATTAAACTATTATTACACTAGACAATTCTAAGGATGTCGATTTTTTATGAAACGAAAGCTTACAGCTTCAAAAGATAACTTGATTTTAGAATTATGACGGAATGCATAATTTCAAAATTCCTAGGATTCGGAACTGAGGCTGTTAGAGGTTAGGTTTGTCGATTTTTGACGAAACGAAAGCTCGCAGCTTCAAATAACAACTTAATTTTAGAATTATTACGGTATATATGGGTTCAAAATTCCTAGGATTCGGAACTAAGGTTGTTAGAGATTAGAGCTGTCGGTTTGTTTATGAAACGAAAGTTTGAAGATTTAAATGGCAAGTTGATTTTAGAATTATTAAGAATCCATGAAAATTCCTAGGATTTGGAACTGAGGCTGCTATTAGTGGTTAGATTTGGTCGATTTTTTATGAAACAAAAGCTTGAATCTTCAAAGGACAAGCTCATTTTAGAACTATTACGGAATCTATGATTTCAAAATTCCTAGGATTCAGAACTAAGGCTGTTAGAGGTTGATTTCGGAATTACCATGGGATCTATGATTTCAAAATTCCTAGGCTTCGGGATTAAAGTTGTTAGGAGTTAGATTTGTCGATTTGTTTATAAAAAGAAAGCTTGGAGCTTCAAAGGACAAGTTGTTTTTAGAATCATTATGGATTCTACGATTTCAAAATTCCTAGGATTCGTAACTGAGGGTGTTAGAGGATATATTTGCCGATTTTTTTACGAAACGAAAGCTTGCAGCTTCAAATGACAACTTGATTTTAGAATTATTACGTTATCTCTGATTTCAAAATTCCTAGGATAAAATTCTAAGGCTTTTATAGGTTAGATTTGTCGTTTTTTCTAAAACGAACGTTTGAAGCTTCAAAGGATGAGCTTATTTTAGAATTCTTACGGAATCCGTACAAAATCCGTGCAAAATTCCTAGGATTCGGGAACGTATTATTACAAAATATTTGAAATTCCTAGGACAACAAAAAATGATTATCGGAGTTCACACCTTGCCAAAAACAAAGCGAGATATGCGGAATCCAACACTTCAAAATTCCTAGGATTTCCATTACGACACACATCTGGACTATTGGAGATCGCGTCTTATTTTGAAATTTGTGTTTTTACACACCGTTGTATCAGGATCACAGAATCGTGAAATATTTAAGAATATCGAAAAAACTCATTTTACCCTACCATTTTCTTTTACAGGATCATATAAGCGCAAAAAACTGATGCAAATTTCTAGTTTAAAAGTTAAAAGGATTACAGAAACGCGAGGAGGTGAAATATTTAATATCGACACAGGTTTTTCTCCTGTTATAAATTACCTCTTACTAATGTACCCGGATCACAAAAACGCCAAAAATTATCGACAGACACCTTCTCACGTATCACCGATTCAAAGTTCCGTTTTAAAACATCATCAGTATCACAGAAAAGTGACAAACTGTTTAAGGGCCAGGCACATTTTGCATGATCACGTTTTTCTTTAGTAGCATTATCAGGTTCTTACAAACGGATCATTTAAGGGACACATTTCCCTATTGACTGAACTATAAGAATCAGAAAACCGGAACAAAAATATTGATTGGCTTCTGCTAATGCGTTGCTCTCCTGGTACAAATTTGTATCAGGTCACAGAAAGACGAGGAAGTGAGATTAAGATGCATTTGCCTCTGCTACGTTATTCTGTTTCCCTTTTCGGATATATCAAGACACAACAAATTACCAACAGACACCTTTTCACGCAATATGTTCTCCTGATCCAAATTTATGTTTTAAATCATGTATTATCTCTCTCCTACTACGTTCTTTGAGACAAACTTCCAAAGTGACTGATTAAAAAGTTAACAACACGTGTTTTTCCAAAACTTGTATCAGGATCACAGAAACGTAAACAAGTGAAATTTAAATCAAGGCAAATTTTTCTACTATTATGTTCTCCTGTTACAAATTTCACTTTCCCGGACTAACAGCTCAGTTCCTTAGAAACCGTTGTACTACAATTTCCGATGTGTGAGAAGTGAAATATTTAAGGACAATGGCAAGACGTTATGTTCTCCTGTTATAAAGATAGAACAAAAGTCTCCTAACGCGTCATGCTTTCCTTATACAAATTTCTGCTTTAAAAATTCTTGTATCGAGATCACAGAAGCGTGAGAAGGTGAAATATTTAATATCGAGACAATTTTTTGCCTATAGTACGTTCGCCTGATGCATTCCTCTTTTTACTCTATCAGTATCACAAAAAATGAAACAAAAATTGAGAGGCACTCCTTATGTTCTCCTGATACAAACACCTCCTTTACAAATTGTTGTATTAAGATCAAACAAACGTGAGGAGGTGGAATATTTTAATATCAAGGCACATTTTACCCTATTACAAATTTCTCTTACTACTCATGAAGCGCCCAAAAATAATTGATAGACAGCTCCTTAGAAACCGTTGTGGATCACAGGTACGTGAGAAGTAGAATGACAAGACGCATTTTCTCTTGCGATGTTCTCCTGTCACAATTTCTCTTATTTACTGAACTATAAGGATCGCGTAAACGGAACAAAATATTGTCGCATATGTGCTTATGTTTTTTACTGATGCATGAAGACCACAAAACCCAAACGAATTAACAACCTTATCACACGTAACATGTTCTCCTGATATAAATGTATCACAGAAGCGCGAGGAGGTAAGATATTTAATAACAAGGGATTCGCTCCCATTATGTTCTTCCGATACCTCCTCACGTATGATTTTCGCTTGCCATAAATTTCTGTTTTCAAAAATTGTTGTATCAGAATCACAGAAACGAGGAGTAGGAGAAATATTTAATCACAATATTTATTTTCCCCTGTCTTCCTGTTACAAATTTCCCTCTTTACTAATCTGTCAGGTACACAAACACGCAAAGAAAGGTATCTCACGCATTATGTTTCCCTGATACATGCTTCTGGGCAGCATCTGATATTAAAAAAGTTTCTACGGTGCGAGTTTTAGAAAAATTGTTATATTACCCTAGTTTATGTTAGTCTAACAAACACAATACATGGATTTCAGTTTTAGGCCGAGTTTCTTCGGAAAGCGTTCTCGATTTGGACGGTTCGTTTCAGTAATTAGTTGATTGCTAGAACGTACTAAAGATTCACCAACGTTATACATTTTTTGGTGTAATATTCGCCTATCATGACAGTTGAACGGCCGTCGGGAATTTTGCCATATCAATCTCTTAAGAGACGTTTAAACGGCGCAGACCCGTTATAAGACAATTAATCAGAATGTACTTTTCGGTATTAGCAGTTGTTTCCTATCATGACGGTTGGACGGCCATCGGGAATTTTGCCATATTAACCCCCGAATGAAGTTTAATTTGTTTTACAGGTAAAATGTTCAAAAGTGCCGAGCTTCCGTGGCTGATTCAGTTCTTCCAAATGTTCTACAACGACAAGCCGGTCGATTGGCTGTTAGACCATTTAATATCGACGAAAATCTGCAACTGGGAAAAAAACAACGTAAGTACGCGCCGCGTGCCCGAATTGCGAGGTACTGTTGTTTGCTTTTAATTTAAATATGCAAATCGTGCGCTATTTTCGTGCTAAAACCATTGTACTACTTTTAGGACTTTTGTAAAAAAGATAAGGCGAAAATGTGGCTACATTATAAGCCGTCTCTCTTTCAACACATCGGCACGCATTCGTCCCTTAAAGGAAAGGTGCAAAAACTGAAGGTGAGTGGAATTAGTGTTGGATTATGCATAATTTATACTCATACGAAACGCTCCCCTTTACACGCGACCGTATGGAATTAACAAATTCACTTGGTCATTTTTTTGTTAGACCCCATGATTAACATTTTCATATTTGAACCCTTTTGACGCACCCCCGCCAGTAAGTTTTAATTGGATTTGGTACCCGATTGGCTGAAAATCACCGTATGCCGAAACAAAAACAAAAAATGTCCCACTTGCTCTACATTTCAATAACAATGAGCACCCCCATCGTTACGCTAGCGAAAAAAACCTCGAGCACTGCGCTGGTAATAGGAGGGAAAAAAATCGCGGTTGACAGAAAACGTTTTCATTAATTTAATGAGTTTGCGTTCCTCTCAAACAAAAAAAGACTCCTTTAAATGTATTCAAGTTTTCAATTCGTATATTTTAACGAGAAGAGTTAACGAAAAGCTGGCCGAATATTTGAAATGGCCTTTTGATCTACTTTCTCCCTAATGTCAGCTTTAATCGAGTTACGCATGTAAATTTGAAAGTAGGTTTAGTATACCCCTTCTATTTCCTTGTAAATAACACTCCGAAGGGCTAAAGATGGCATATTCTATCTAACGCGTCCCCTAGGAATTCGTATGTGAATATCGTCGCGATAAATAAATTGGGAACCAATTTGTGCCTTCTCAAAGTTGTTTTGCACGCGATTTTTCCAATTTCCAACTTGATGATTCGGAATACCTGTCTGTTATAAGAGAAATTGAAATTGTGCCAGATGGCACGATAAGGCACAATGATTAGGAAAGTTCCAACGATTTGTAGAAACTCAAAATGGCCTCCAGCAAGTATGTGTGAAGATGTTCCGTTCTGTTATAAGATCCTAGGAATTAAAATTGTGCCAGGCGGCACTATAACGCACAATTATTGGGAAACTCCAAACGATCTCTGGGAACCCTTCTAGGAAGTACGTATATGACAGTTGTAGGGAAATTTGTTCTCTTCTTACTGGGGGACTGGGTGGGGTATTCTATACCCCCCGGTCATACGTTCTGCCCCAAAATGTTCAGACCTAAGGACTCTTTTCTTAACTCTTTCAAAAAATCATGGTGTTAATGATCAGCAATGCCCAAACGAGGGGTCTGGGGGGTATGGAATATCCTCCAGTATACGAAAGACTTAGACAGTTAATAGGGAAACTTGTTCCCTTTTTAAAATTTAAGGTTCAAAGACGATACTCGAGCAATTAAATTACAGCGACGTAGATTCCTTTAATTTTGACGCTGAATAATTAGAAAATTAAACAAAATTATAAGCGCTAATTAAAAAGCGTCCCGAAAATTACAGAATCAGATTCAAATCCTACGGGGAAATAAATAATACACGAAGTGAACACAAAAATTTAAGGTTCAAATGCGACACTCGAGCAATTAAATTACAGCGACGTAGATTCGTTTAATTATGACGCTGAATAATTAGAAAATTAAACAAAATTATCAGCGCTAATTAAAAAGCGTCCTGACAATCACAGAAACAGATTCAAATCCTACGGGGAAATAAATAATATACGAGGTGAACACAAAAAGTTAAGGTTCAAATGCGATACTCGAGCAATTAAATTACAGCGACGTAGATGCATTTAATTATGACGCTGGATAATTAGAAAATTAAACAAAATTATCAGCGCGAATTAAAAAGCGTCCTGAAAATCACAGAAACAGATTCAAATCGTACGGGGAAATAAATAATATACGAGGTGAACACAAAAATTTAAGGTTCAAATGCGATACTCGAGCAATTAAATTACAGCGACGTATAGATTCGTTTAATTATGACGCAAAATAATTAGAAAATTAAACAAAATTATCAGCGCGAATTAAAAAGCGTCCTGAAAATTACAGAATCAGATTCAAATCCTACGGAGAAATAAATAATACAAGAGGTGAACACAAAAATGTAAGGTTTCAAATGCGATATTCGAGCAATTAAATTACAGTGACGTAGATTTGTTTAATTATGTCGCTGAATAATTAGAAAATTAAACAAAATTATCAGCGCTAATTAAAAAGCGTCCTGAAAATCACAGAATTAGATTGAAATCCTACGGGGAAATAAATAATATACGAGGTGAACACAAAAATTTAAGGTTCAAATGCGATACTTGAGCAATTAAATTACAGCGACGTAGATTCATTTAATTTTGACGCTGATAATTAGAAAATTAAACATAATTATCAGGCTAATTAAAAAGCGTCCTGAAAATTACAGAATCAGATTCAAATCCTATGGGGAAATAAATATAGTATACGAGGTGAACACAAAATTTAAGGTTCAAATGCGATACTTGAGCAATTAAATTACAGCGACGTAGATTCGTTTAATTATGACGCTGAATAATTAGAAAATTAAAAAATTATCAGCGATAATTAAAAATCGTCCTGAAAATTACAGAATCAGATTCAAATCGTACGGGGAAATAAATAATATACGAGGTGAACACAAAAATTTAAGGTTCAAATGCGATACTCGAGCAATTAAATTACAGCGACGTAGATGCATTTAATTATGACGCTGGATAATTAGAAAATTAAACAAAATTATCAGCGCGAATTAAAAAGCGTCCTGAAAATCACAGAAACAGATTCAAATCGTACGGGGAAATAAATAATATACGAGGTGAACACAAAAATTTAAGGTTCAAATGCGATACTCGAGCAATTAAATTACAGCGACGTAGATGCTTTTAATTATGACGATAGATAATTTGAAAATTAAACAAAATTATCAGCGCTAATTAAAAAGCGTCCTGAAAATTACAGAATCAGATTCAAATCCTACGGAGGAATAAATAATATACGAGGTGAACACAAAAATTTAAGGTTCAAATGCGATACTCGAGCAATTAAATTACAGCGACGTATAGATTCGTTTAATTATGACGCAAAATAATTAGAAAATTAAACAAAATTATCAGCGCGAATTAAAAAGCGTCCTGAAAATTACAGAATCAGATTCACATCCTACGGGGGAAGTAAATAATATACGAGGTGAACACAAAAATTTTCGGTTCACTCTCTCGATCAGGCACAATTAATAGGAAAGTGCAAACGATTTCTACAAACTCAATTTTTTTTCCGGTTATAAAAACTTAGCCAGACGGCACAATAAATAAGAAGGTTCAAAAGATTTCAGTAATTTCAAATGAGAACCACGTAAGCGTCATTTTTCGCGGTAAGTGTAAAAATAAAGCCCTACTAATTAATGTAAACGATTGCCCCATTACACTTTGTAATCCTCTTTAAAGGTGGATTTACACTTAACTTTAAAATCGTAAACTTTAATTGGTATCCTTACGTAACCGAGTTCAGTTTATTATTCGACTCGTAATCTCATTGCGCATTAATTCCGTCGGTGGCAATTTTTCCGTTTTCCGCTCGTGTGACGATTCTCATTTCAGGAGGGGAACGAAAGGCATTTGTTTATTTTCCACAAAAAGGAAAAAGCATCGCCCGATAGTACTTCCAAAACGAATTATGGAGCAATTTAGGGATTTAAGGCGAAGTTATTTAGAGAGCGTGGAAGGTGCCGTAATCTAAAGCTTAAGAATTTGCGAGACACTTTGAAGCATCACACGAATTTCGCCCTCGACCTTTTCGTTTACTGCGGACCGCACAACAATGCAGGGTCGGATGCAGGGAAAATTTCCGCTAGGCCCTTGTGTTGGTCGCGTGGTTTTGAACCATTTTAATTGTCGAAAACGCGAAAAGTGACTTCAATTGATGTAGGTACGTAACTGGAACAATGAATTTTAGGGAAACTCGAGAGGACTCTGATGGGACTTGAGAATTTGGGAGAAAGTGGAGAAGAATTTGAAATGCACTTGACAGAAACCTTGAAACCTTACTAGGGTCCGTTAACTTGGCCCCCCCACTGAGAGATTTGATAGTATTATTTTGAAATGAATGCGCTCGTTATGCGCTCATATGCGCCACCGATAATAACTCTTGCGCCATTATCGTTTTTTAGAAATCCGAAAAAACATTTGGGGGGGGGGCCAAGTGAACGTAGCCCCCCCAGTACGTATTTTGTCCCTTGTAACTAGGTCACCTGATACATTTGGTTATGCGCTCAATTGCGCCACTTGAATTAAAGCTAGCGCCATTACGGTTAAGCCGTGACAAATTTTCAAAAAGTGGGGGGGCCAACTTAACGTTTTTAAAAGTTACTTTTTTTAACATCTTTTCATACGAAATTGTACTCTCAGGTATGCGCTGAAATGCGCCGTAAAAAGATATCTTTGCGCCATTATTGTTTTTTGGTTATCCTTAAATATATTTGGGGGGGGGGGCAAGTGAACGGAATCCCCCATAACGCATTTTGCTACCGGTATTTGTGCCACTTGATACATCTGGTTATGAGCTCAATTGCGCCACTTGAATTAAAGCTAGCGCCATTACGGTTAAGCCATAAAAAATTTTTAAAAAGTGGGGGGGGCTAACTTAACGTTTTCAAAAGTTACGTTTTTTAACATGTTTTTTCTACTACATCGTACCTTTCATCATGCGCTAAAATGCGCCGTAAACAAAAAATCTTGGCGCCATTATAGTGTTTCAGAAACACTATACAGGGTGTTTTTTGGGAGCTTTAGTTAAACGATTCTGGGAAAGTAAAATAGGTAGGTTTTTAAAAATTTGTATTTAGGAGTTACTCCGAAGGCCGAATCGATGTAAAATATTTTCAAAATGGACGCACTTCCGGAAATAACTTTTGAAAACGCTAAGTTAGACCCTCCACTTTTTAAAAATTTTTTATGGCTTAACCGTAATGGCGCTAGCTTTAATTCAAGTGGCGCAATTGAGCGCATAACCAAATGTATCAGGTGACCTAGTTACAAGGGACAAAATACGTACTGGGGGGGCTACGTTCACTTGGCCCCCCCCAAATGTTTTTTCGGATTTCTAAAAAACGATAATGGCGCAAGAGTTATTATCGGTGGCGCATATGAGCGCATAACGAGCGCATTCATTTCAAAATAATACGACTATCAAATCTCTCAGTGGGGGGGCCAAGTTAACGGACCCGTGTGATGAGAACAATAAGGGAGCTTAAGGATAACTGGTTAACAACTTCAGAGCGGCTTAAGAGGAAATTAAGGGTAATTTGAGAGAAGCTCGAGAGGAAATTTGATCCTTTTTTGCTTGGGGGGATTCCATACCCACCAAATACCTCGGTGATTCATTCTACCTCAAAACATTCGGAGCTAAGCTCTTTTCTGTCCAAAAATCATGGTGTTAAAGATCAGCAATGCCAAACCAGGGGGTCTGGGGAGTGCCCCCCAGTACACGATACGATTGACCCGATTTCGTTGGAAAAACGTCCAAGTGCCTTGCCTGGGTGTTCCAGAAGTGAATTTTATGCGTTTTCGAATGGAACATTCATCAATCCGGCTCTGCAACAAAGAGCCACGCCTAAAATTAAAGTATGAGTATAAATTATTAACGCCAAAAACTCATAAACGTGCCCTTCTCGCATACTAACAAAAACTTAGCGTTTATGGTTGAACGTAAATTTTTAACATTCCTCCTCCGCGCTCTTAACGAGTTACAATTTCAGGACAAGCAGTTTGGAAAGGTGGCCCTTTTCTTTCCGCACAGCAATCCAGAGGCGGAAGTCATTTCGGGCATTAAATTTTACAAACAGTACAGCTTAGAGCGGGCATATTTGGGCGAGACGTTCTTCTGGGGTCTCCTACCCCAACCGGGTGATTTACTTACGTTTAAGTTTACGAAGCCCGTTCTCGTGAAGAGGTAATTAATTTACCGGCGCTCGTAACGCGCGAAGACGCTCATCTTTCCGTCGCGTTTGTTTCAGATTCTTTTTCCGAAGCGGAAACGCCGAGCATCCATCGGATAAGTTCTACAACACGACCGTTGAGGTCTATCCCATCGAGCCGAATCAATATGGCGGCACTCTGAATGTGACAAGTGATGGGTTTATTATCGTAGGTAAGTCACGCCACGTAAGCCGCACAATTGATCGTTTTAGGGATAAGCTTAATTTATGAGTGGGGCACTATCTCGGGAGCGGGCGGTAATGCAAATGGGGTCGCGACAGAAGCGTAATCGATAGCATTACTCACACGTAATCCAAAGCAAGTTTCAGAAACTGAAGTAAAAATTCGAGACAAGTCCGGAGATTTCTTAAATTTGATGCTATCACGTGAGGTGAGGCGGCGCAGCCTCAAAAACTACCAAATTTTGAAAAATTTAAAAATTCTTTACATTTCCGATCAGATCAGATCAGGTTCCTCATTTTTTGGGGGTTTATTCAGATTTTTTTAATTTTATATCTTCATCATTTTTTGTGCCTTTACTAACCTGTTTTTCACTTCTCCCCCCCCCCCCCTCACATCTAGTTTCTTTTACTTTCTCTTCCATTCTTCACGCCTTACCACTTACTTTCTTCAGGCATCCTTTGTTTGCCCTCTATCTCCGCACTTCTATCTTTTACTGCTCCTTCTCCCGCGCTATCTTCTTCATACCTTCATCTCTTAATTTTCTCTCCCTTTCTTCATGATCTTGATATGCTTTCTGTAAGCATTCTTTACACGTTCTTCACCTTGGCAAAAAAGAAACTATATTCCCGTTTATGGGATCTTTGAGCTTTTTTTGTAATCTTTTTTTTCTTCACGCCTCTTGCTTATACGTTTCTTTTCTTTGACACTTTTTTCCGTCACCCATACTTTCTTCGTGCTTCTCTTTAGCATACGATCTAATTTCTAAGTTCAAAACTCCTTTCTTTACTCCTCTCTGCTTTATTCTTCTTTCTACTACGCCTCTTAGGTTCTCTTTTTACGCGGTACTTTTGTGAGATTTACTCCAATGCCGAGTCGAAGGCGAGTTCGGCATAAATTTGCACCGCCCTGCTACCTTTTTTTTGGTTTTTCCTATTTTTGAATTTAAGATTCTTTGTGCCACTTCTTTAGAATCCTCACCCTCCTGAATCCGCCGTTTCTTCAGTTGCTTTCTTCACATTTTTCCATTTTACACATTAACTCCTCCAGTTTCATAAGACTTCACATTCTTCAGACTCTTGAGATTATTAAGTTTCTTGGGACTCTTTGTGAAGATCTTTTTGTCTTTCACGTTTTTTCGGGTTCTAGGCTTTCAAATTATTACCGATTCTTCCGTTTCACAAAATCTCAAATTTTTGCAGTTTTTCGAGTTTTATCACGCTAGTTCTCATTTCTTTATTCTTCTTGAATTTTTTCGCCATCTTTCAGTTTCTTCATTTTCTTCAGGTCAATCAAAATCCTCAGATTCTTTTAGTTCTTCCGATTCTTACATAATTGGCTTTGCATTCTCCCGTTTTTTCGAACTCTTCTGATTTGTCAATTTCTTGTAATCCATCAGCTGCATAGAATTCCTCGGATTCTTCAGTGTCTTTCATCCAATTTTTCAGATTCTGCGGGCTGTTTATATTGTTCTTTTCTTCAATTTCTTCTGATTCTTCGCAGCTTTAGGTTCATGGGATTCTTCGAATTCATCAATTTCTTGAGATTCTTTAAACCTTTCGGATTCTTCCTAGTTCCAGGTTCTTGCAGTTTTCAATTTTTACCGACTCTTCCATTTGTAATCAAACTAAAAATTTTTCACCATCTTTCAATCACGCAATGTTCCCAGGATTCTTTGGAATTTCTTCTTCTGATCTTTCTATTTTCATTCGCATTTTTTTCAGATTCTTCCATTTCTTCAAACTTTTCCAGTTTTGCAGATAGATCATCTGCATTCTCAATTTTATTGGAAGTTTTTCTTTGGAATTCTTCGAATCACTCCGATGCTTTCAGGTTCTTTTCAGTGCTACACATTGCCAATGTTTACCGATTTTTCGTCTTCCGTTCCTTCAGGATCTACGTTATGTTCTTATGTTCTAGATCGAATTTCTTCGGAATCTCCTTTCTTAGATTTCTTCGATCTGAGCTTTCTATTTTTAGCGCAGAATTTAAAAAAATGCGCTATTGTTTTGTCCGTCCGTCCGGACCCACTTCTGCCGTTTTGAACTACTTCTAGGGGAATGGTCCTAGAGTCCTGGAATTTTTTGCAGTAGTCTAAAAGGCCCCCCCCCCCCTCACGAATAATTTCCTGAGATGCTGTTTTTGAAAGTAAAACGTGCATAACTTTTACATACGACAACCAATCGGTCTCAGATTTTGCATACGCATGCCTTTAGCGGTGCTAAGTTTTTAGGAAATAGGGGGGGGGGCACACATGTTCTACGGGAGGAGGAGAGGGGGACACATGTTCTACCCTTCATGTTATTCTAATGAAAAGTCTCATCGAAATAAGTTGGTTTGTACAAACTATAACTTTCCCGTGCGACTCTTTTTCGAGATCAGTGAGCGACGGCGCCTGGGGGGGATTAAAATTAATTTTATCTCATTGTATTGTAATTAAAGGTCTCAACGAAAAGAACCGTTTTCTACCAGCTACTGCCCTTCTTTCTGTCCTCTTATCAAAGTACGTGGTGGAAGGGGGGGGGGGGAGTGGAACTACCTTCATGGTACTCTAATGAAAGGTCTCAACGAAAGGAATTAATTTCTACCAACCATAGCCCTCTTCCTCGACCTCTTATCCTGATCGGGTATATTCCCTTATACCTCAAGAACGGATTGTCGGAAGACGGTACTCACAAAGGGCGATTGAGACGTCTGCAAGAAATAGATCCATTGGTGATGTAAAAACAAAAGCTATTTCGGTTAAAAAAATGCGCTTTATCTGCAAAACAGTTTTTTTGCCATTTTTCAGATTCATAATTTTCTTCAGGTCAAAAAGACAACCCTCGCATTCTTGTGCCTCTTTCGATTCTGTTATTTCTTCAAATTCCTCTAGTTTCTTATTCAATATCTTCCATCTTCGGATTCTTTAGTTTCTTTCAATTAGTTTTTCCGATCTTTAAAATCTTTCCTTACTTAGAATTTCCTCGTTTTTTTTTAAGAATTTTTCGCATTCTTCAATGCGTTCTTCGGAACCTTCTAATTTTTCTACTTTTTTTATACCTCAGGTTCTTGTGATCCTTTTCCTCACTGTTGAGAGATACATCATTTTTTTGAAACCAATTGGAACTCTCTAATTTCTATGATTCGTAATTTTGTATTCAAAAATTTCCCCTAGGGACACGCTATTACCTCATAATGTCAATCGACTTACGATTCTTCTTTTTCTTCAAATTCGAAAATTAAGGAGAAGCAGGACATTTCGCTTCGAGTAGTTATTTTAGCCTTGTCTATCAATATTCAAGTTTCTATTTCGGTTGTTACTTTGTTTGATTTTTTGTGTCTTAATTGTCGAGTTTGGGCGCCAATTTTGAACGTACAGCCAAAAAAACTAACCCAATCTCGCCTGTTACAGGTAAATTCGACGTGGTGGGCATCGCCGAAGGCACGCCGGACGAAAGCATCGGTCGAGTGTCGGCGTTACGTCTGCACGTCCACTCCGAGAGCGACAACTGGGCGATACTTAGCGAGGTAACCTCCGACCCGTCGCGCTCGAATATTAATCGCTCCACTTCCAGATTCACATACAAGACGAGATCACCAGGTGACCAAGGACGAGCGGTCGGGCCCTACTCCCATTCCCGCACATACGACACCAGTACATGCTCGATCGCATTCCCCCGCATCCTCTGTGATAATTGTTTGTTTTTTGTTTTACACGTTTATAGTTTATGTAGTTTTTCGTTGGCCAGTTATTCACCCTTAGTCCCCCGTCACGTATGCATCATAAACGGCGCTTGATTCGTTCATATAATTTAGGTCAGCCGAGTTGGACTGGGACCCACCGGTTCAATCCAACTCCGGATAGGTGCTATCCGATTATGTTCTTTGTGTCCATTATATTCAGCAAGTAAATGTTCCATGTCTGTATTTAACGTAACATAACTAGAATTGAGACTGATTCGGTATCGTGAATGTAAATATATAATGTTTTCGTACAGCTCTTTTTCGTCTGCACGTCTGGGGACCATCATTACACCTAGTTTTTCGCCTTTTATTACAGAATTACACTGATTTAAAGGGTATTAGCTCGTACATACCAAAGGAATTGTGCTGAAATACTTCCATCCAATTCATTTTTCTACATGCATTTGGAATTGAACTGTTAGTACGTTTTATACTGCTACTGAAATAACGAGGACAGTTTAGTTTACAGTTCGTGCCATACACCCCTATTTGAAATATAAAAGTATTATCGTTGTATTAAATGGAAAAATTAATGTTAATTTTTAAGTATTTATTTTTGTATGGCAGTGTAAAATGAATATAACTTTATTTTACATTGTTTCTTATAACCCGGAATAATTTCCCTTGCCTCCTCCAATATCATCAACGTTCGAGGACCGCCAGGGGAATTTTTGGCTCGCGACTGCCTGAAGGTGTGTGATTGTTCTGTAATTGAATTACAAAGTTTCCCATCGCAGAGTGTTTGGTTACCAAACGGAACGGATCAGATAAATTAATAATTTTCTGAAATGCGCAAGCGAAAATGAGAGAAAACGTTCCTTGAGAAATGTCAAAGAGAGAACCAAGAGACTGGCAATGAACGGAAAAATTTTGTGACATACAAAGAAGGAAAATACTAAATAAAAGCGGACTTTACAAGTAAATAGATTTCTTGGATACAGGACCATCTACATAATAAGTTTCAAACCCCTAGGACCTTCCATTCGAGAGTTATCCCATAGACTAACGAACGAGCAGACAATCTAATGCAGTTTTTAGAGAATGGATAAGTGAAAATTTGGGATTTTTTATTTAATCTCCCAGGATTGAATTTAAAGTTTCCATATTTTATTGAAATTTAAAAAAGTTTGTAAAAAATTCTCCTACCTTGGGGGTTATTGATAAAAAGCAATCAATGCCGTGAGTATCTACCCTTTGTTACACATTTTGGAAATTCGCACGAAATTTCTAGAACGTTCTGTAAATTTCTAAAGGCGGAGACGTGGTGAACGTGAACGCCGTTAAGTGGTTACTAAAAATTCTACAATTCGCAAAACTTCACTGTCTATTAGAGGTTCTGAAGACCAAGAGAAGTAGACGCTTCCAAACCGTTTACAACTTTCACCTCTCTAGTGATGATTTTTTTAGGACCATCGATAAGCATTTTTGGAGACAGCGTATCATCCCGGGGGTATGCAAAATCCTCCAGCAAAGTATATTCCACACCCCCCAGACCCGCAGGTGCTAATTTGCCCCCAATACGTTAATAACTTCCCCTTCTTTCATTATAACTCTTAAAGGAGGACCATCTAAAATCATGTTTGGGGATATCATAGCACCGGGGAGTATGGAATATCCCCCAGCAAAGAGGAATTTGATGGTCCTCCCGCGGAAATGTGAGTGAGAGTTGTGGGAGAATCATTCGAGATAAGTGCATCAATACTTCCGTTTTGCTGGGGGGGGGGGTTTATTCCATACTCCATTTTCCCCCAATACGTTAAGAACTTTCCCTTCTTTCATTATGACTCTTTAAGGAGGACCGTCCAACATCATTTTTGGGGACAGCGTATCACCGGGGAGTATGGAATATCCCCTAGCAAAGAGGGATTTGATGGTCCTCCCGCGGATAGACCGTAACTGTGAGTGAGAGTTGTAAGAGAATCATTCAAGATAAGTGCATCAATACTTCCGTTTTGCTCGTGGGGGGGGGGGTATTCCATACTCCATTTTCCCCCAATACGTCAAGAACTTTCCCTTCTCTCATTATGACTCTTTAAGGAGAACCGTCTAAAATCATTTTTGGGGACAGCGTAGCACCGGGGAGTATGGAATATCCCCCAGCAAAGAGGAATTTGATGGTCATCCCGCGGAAATGATCGTAAATGTGAGTGAGAGTTGTAAGAGAATCATTCGAGATAAGTGCATCAATACTTCCGTTTTGCTGGGGGGTATTCCAGACCCCCCGGTGCTAATTTTCCCCCAATACGTTAAGAACTTTCCCATCTTTCATTATGACTCTTTAAGGAGGACCGTCCAACATCATTTTTGGGGACAGCGTATCACCGGGGAGTATGGAATATCCCCCAGTAAAGAGGGATTTGATGGTCCTCCCGCGGATAGACCGTAACTGTGAGTGAGAGTTGTAAGAGAATCATTCAAGATAAGTGCATCAATACTTCCGTTTTACTGGGGGGTATTCCATACTCCATTTTCCCCCAATACGTTAAGAACTTTCCCTTCTTTCATTATGACTCTTTAAGGAATACCGTCTAACATCATTTTTGGGGACAGCGTAGCACCGGGGGGTATAGAATATCCCCCAGCAAAGAGGGATTTGATGGTCCTCCCGCGGATAGACCGTAACTGTGAGTGAGAGTTGTAAGAGAATCATTCAAGATAAGTGCATCAATACTTCCGTTTTACTGGGGGGTATTCCATACTCCATTTTCCCCCAATACGTTAAGAACTTTCCCTTCTTTCATTATGACTCTTTAAGGAATACCGTCTAACATCATTTTTGGGGACAGCGTAGCACCGGGGGGTATAGAATATCCCCCAGCAAAGAGGGATTTGATGGTCCTCCCGCGGATAGACCGTAACTGTGAGTGAGAGTTGTAGGAGAATCATTCGAGATAAGTGCATCAATACTTCCGTTTTGCTGGGGGGTATTCCAGACCCCCCGGTGCTAATTTTCCCCCAATACGTTAAGAACTTTCCCATCTTTCATTATGACTCTTTAAGGAGGACCGTCCAACATCATTTTTGGGGACAGCGTATCACCGGGGAGTATGGAATATCCCCCAGTAAAGAGGGATTTGATGGTCCTCCCGCGGATAGACCGTAACTGTGAGTGAGAGTTGTAAGAGAATCATTCAAGATAAGTGCATCAATACTTCCGTTTTACTGGGGGGTATTCCATACTCCATTTTCCCCCAATACGTTAAGAACTTTCCCTTCTTTCATTATGACTCTTTAAGGAATACCGTCTAACATCATTTTTGGGGACAGCGTAGCACCGGGGGGTATAGAATATCCCCCAGCAAAGAGGGATTTGATGGTCCTCCCGCGGATAGACCGTAACTGTGAGTGAGAGTTGTAAGAGAATCATTCAAGATAAGTGCATCAATACTTCCGTTTTACTGGGGGGTATTCCATACTCCATTTTCCCCCAATACGTTAAGAACTTTCCCTTCTTTCATTATGACTCTTTAAGGAATACCGTCTAACATCATTTTTGGGGACAGCGTAGCACCGGGGGGTATAGAATATCCCCCAGCAAAGAGGGATTTGATGGTCCTCCCGCGGATAGACCGTAACTGTGAGTGAGAGTTGTAAGAGAATCAATTCGAGATAAGTGCATCAATACTTCCGTTTTGCTGGAGAGTATTTCAGACCCCCCGTGCTAATTTTTCCCCCAATACCGTTAGAGAACTTTCCCTTCTCTCATTATGACTCTTTAAGGAGAACCGTCTAAAATCATTTTTGGGGACAGCGTAGCACCGGGGAGTATGGAATATCCCCCAGCAAAGAGGAATTTGATGGTCATCCCGCGGAAATGATCGTAAATGTGAGTGAGAGTTGTAAGAGAATCATTCGAGATAAGTGCATCAATACTTCCGTTTTGCTGGGGGGTATTCCAGACCCCCCGGTGCTAATTTTCCCCCAATACGTTAAGAACTTTCCCTTCTTTCATTATGCCTCTTTAAGGGGGACCATCGAAAATCATTTTTGGGGACAGCGTAGCAACGGGGGATATGGAATATCCCCCAGCAAAGAGGGAATTGATGGTTCTCACGCGAAAATGACAGTTACTGTGAGTGAGTTGTAGGAGAATCATTCGAGATAAGTGCATCAATACTTTCGTTTTGCTGGGGGGTATTCCAGACCCCCCGGTGCTCATTTTCCCCCAATACGTTAAGAACTTCCCCTTCTTTCATTATGACTCTTTAAGGAGGACCGTCTAAAATCATTTTTGGGCACAGCGTAGCATCGGGGGGCATGGAATATCCCCCAGCAAAGAGGGCATCAATACTTCCGTTTTGCTGGGGGGTATTCCAGACCCCTCGGTGCTACTTTTCCCCCAATACGTTAAGAACTTTTCCTTCTTTCATTATGACTCTTTAAGGGGGACCATCGAAAATCATTTTTGGGGACAGCGTAGCAACGGGGGATATGGAATATCCCCCAGAAAAGAGGGATTTGATGGTTCTCACGCGAAAATGAGAGTTACTGTGAGTGAGAGTTGTAGAAGAATTATTCGAGATAAGTGCATCAATACTTCCGTTTTGCTGGGGAGTATTCCAGACCCCCCGGTGCTAATTTTCCCCCAATACGTTAAGAACTTTCCCTTCTTTCATTATGACTCTTTAAGGAGGACCATCTAAAATCATTTTTGGGCACAGCGTAGCATCGGGGGGGCATGGAATATCCCCCAGCAAAGAGGAATTTGATGGTCCTCCCGCGGAAATGAACGTAAATGTGAGTGAGAGTTGTAAGAGAATCATTCGAGATAAGTGCATCAATACTTCCGTTTTGCTGGGGGGTATTCCACACCCCTCGGTGCTAATTTTCCCCCAATACGTTAAGAACTTTCCCTTCTTTCATTATGACTCTTTAAGGGGGACCATCGAAAATCATTTTTGGGGACAACGTAGCAACGGGGGATATGGAATATCCCCCAGCAAAGAGGGATTTGATGGCACTCCCGCGACTAGACCGTAACTGTGAGTGAGAGTTGTAAGAGAATCATGCGAGATAAGTGCAACAATACTTCCGTTTTGCTGGGGAGTATTCCAGACCCCCCGGTGCTAATTTTCCCCCAATACGTTAAGAACTTTCCCTTCTTTCATTATGACTCTTTAAGGGGGACCATCGAAAATCATTTTTGGGGACAACGTAGCAACGGGGGATATGGAATATCCCCCAGCAAAGAGGGATTTGATGGCACTCCCGCGACTAGACCGTAACTGTGAGTGAGAGTTGTAAGAGAATCATGCGAGATAAGTGCAACAATACTTCCGTTTTGCTGGGGAGTATTCCAGACCCCCCGGTGCTAATTTTCCCCCAATACGTTAAGAACTTTCCCTTCTCTCATTATGACTCTTTAAGGAGAACCGTCTAAAATCATTTTTGGGGACAGCGTAGCACCGGGGAGTATGGAATATCCCCCAGCAAAGAGGAATTTGATGGTCATCCCGCGGAAATGATCGTAAATGTGAGTGAGAGTTGTAAGAGAATCATTCGAGATAAGTGCATCAATACTTCCGTTTTGCTGGGGGGTATTCCAGACCCCCCGGTGCTAATTTTCCCCCAATACGTTAAGAACTTTCCCTTCTTTCATTATGCCTCTTTAAGGGGGACCATCGAAAATCATTTTTGGGGACAGCGTAGCAACGGGGGATATGGAATATCCCCCAGCAAAGAGGGAATTGATGGTTCTCACGCGAAAATGACAGTTACTGTGAGTGAGTTGTAGGAGAATCATTCGAGATAAGTGCATCAATACTTTCGTTTTGCTGGGGGGTATTCCAGACCCCCCGGTGCTCATTTTCCCCCAATACGTTAAGAACTTCCCCTTCTTTCATTATGACTCTTTAAGGAGGACCGTCTAAAATCATTTTTGGGCACAGCGTAGCATCGGGGGGCATGGAATATCCCCCAGCAAAGAGGGCATCAATACTTCCGTTTTGCTGGGGGGTATTCCAGACCCCTCGGTGCTACTTTTCCCCCAATACGTTAAGAACTTTTCCTTCTTTCATTATGACTCTTTAAGGGGGACCATCGAAAATCATTTTTGGGGACAGCGTAGCAACGGGGGATATGGAATATCCCCCAGAAAAGAGGGATTTGATGGTTCTCACGCGAAAATGAGAGTTACTGTGAGTGAGAGTTGTAGAAGAATTATTCGAGATAAGTGCATCAATACTTCCGTTTTGCTGGGGAGTATTCCAGACCCCCCGGTGCTAATTTTCCCCCAATACGTTAAGAACTTTCCCTTCTTTCATTATGACTCTTTAAGGAGGACCATCTAAAATCATTTTTGGGCACAGCGTAGCATCGGGGGGGCATGGAATATCCCCCAGCAAAGAGGAATTTGATGGTCCTCCCGCGGAAATGAACGTAAATGTGAGTGAGAGTTGTAAGAGAATCATTCGAGATAAGTGCATCAATACTTCCGTTTTGCTGGGGGGTATTCCACACCCCTCGGTGCTAATTTTCCCCCAATACGTTAAGAACTTTCCCTTCTTTCATTATGACTCTTTAAGGGGGACCATCGAAAATCATTTTTGGGGACAACGTAGCAACGGGGGATATGGAATATCCCCCAGCAAAGAGGGATTTGATGGCACTCCCGCGACTAGACCGTAACTGTGAGTGAGAGTTGTAAGAGAATCATGCGAGATAAGTGCAACAATACTTCCGTTTTGCTGGGGAGTATTCCAGACCCCCCGGTGCTAATTTTCCCCCAATACGTTAAGAACTTTCCCTTCTTTCATTATGACTCTTTAAGGAGGACCATCTAAAATCATTTTTGGGGACAGCGTAGCACGGGGGATATGGAATATCCCCCAGCAAAGAGGAATTTGATGGTCCTCCCGCGGAAATGATCGTAAATGTGAGTGAGAGTTGTAAGAGAATCATTCGAGATAAGTGCATCAATACTTCCGTTTTGCTGGGGGGTATTCCAGACCCCCCGGTGCTAATTTTCCCCCAATACGTTAAGAACTTTCCCTTCTTTCATTATGACTCTTTAAGGAGGACCATCTAAAATCATTTTTGGGCACAGCGTAGCATCGGGGGGCATGGAATATCCCCCAGCAAAGAGGGATTTGATGGCCCTCCCGCGAAAATGACAGTTACTGTGAGTGAGAGTTGTAGGAGAATCATTCGAGATAAGTGCATCAATACTTTCGTTTTGCTGGGGAGTATTCCAGACCCCCCGGTACTCATTTTCCCCCAATACGTTAAGAACTTTCCCTTCTCTCATTATGACTCTTTAAGGAGAACCGTCTAAAATCATTTTTGGGGACAGCGTAGCACCGGGGAGTATGGAATATCCCCCAGCAAAGAGGAATTTGATGGTCCTCCCGCGGAAATGATCGTAAATGTGAGTGAGAGTTGTAAGAGAATCATTCGAGATAAGTGCATCAATACTTCCGTTTTGCTGGGGGGTATTCCAGACCCCCCGGCGCTAATTTTCCCCCAATACGTTAAGAACTTTCCCTTCTCTCATTGTGACTCTTTAAGGAAAACCGTCTAAAATCATTTTTGGGGACAGCGTAGCACCGGGGAGTATGGAATATCCCCCAGCAAAGAGGGATTTGATGGTCCTACGCGGAAATGACCGTAACTGTGAGAGAGTTGTGCATATACAGGGTGATTAAAAACTGAGTGCAAAGAGTTTAAGGGCGTAAAGCCAAACATAAGAAATTTTTTTCATATAAGTAACCGTATGTCCTAACTTCCTTCGTTTTCTAGATACAGGGTGTAAAAGTTTTAAAAAAATCGGTTTTTATAAGTTATTCAAAAACCTTTTAGCCGATTTAAATCAGATTTGGTAGGCTTATTTGGCGTCATAAGGGCCTTCCTTTGGTGGGAAAAAAATAAACAAAAACCAATTTTTTTTAAGCTCTAGGAAACGAAGCAAGTTAGGACATACGATTATATGAAAAAATTTCGTATTTTTGATTTTGCACTCAATTTTTAATCACCCTGTTTATTAGAATGGTCTATAACTAATGCAAAAAAAAACAAATAAGTGAACAAAAGAGCGGGACTAAGTTTTTGGGGAGAGTGAAAAGGACGAAAGGCGTGTTACGACAATTCCGGATCTTCAAGTACCTAGGTACATTAAATGGCTTTAGGCCCTTTCGAAGGACTTGGTGCTTTTTATTTTCAATTACAATGCTAATTTTCTCCCAAAACCTATTTTCCTTCTTCCATGATGATTTTTTAAAAAAGATAAGCATTTTCGGGGGGCAGCGTAGCACCGGATGTCTGAGGGGCATGGAATACTCCCCATAAAAAAGGGATTTAATAGTCCTCTCGAGGAAATGTGCCCATAACTGTGAGTGAGTGAGAAGAATCATTCGCGATGAGACCATCAATCCGTTTACTAGGAGGTTTTCAAATCCCCCCCCCCCCCATGCAAACTTTTTCCCAATAAGTTAAGAACTTTCCCTTCTTTCATGATGATTTTTTAAGGAGATCCATCAATAAGAATTTTGGGGGACAGCGAAGCACCGGGGGGGGGGGGGGTTATTGAATACCCATCAGCAAAGCGGATTTGATGGGCCTACCGCAGAAATGACCGTAACTGTGAGTGAGGGTTCTAGGAGAATCATTCGAGTTCAGACGATCAACGCTTCCGCTTTACTGGGGGGGGGGGGGGGGGTATGGGATAGCCCTCAGACCCCCCGGTGTTGTTTTACCAAAACGTTTACAACTTGTGCTTGTTCTATGATGATTTTTTAAGGAGGACCATTGATAAGCATTTTTGGGGACAGGGTGGCACCGGGGGGTATGGAGTAGCCCATAGCAAAGAAGGTTTTGATGGTCCACCATGACTGTGAGAATCGTTCAAAAACTATCCATAAAGAGACACGAAATTTATACCATAGATTCAAAAAAACAGAAACATTAAAAGCACTAAGTGGGCCACAAGGCTCCCAAATCAATTCATTTGTCGAGCAAGACAATGAAACCACTAGTCACCCACTTCTTGAAAGAGTCAAATGGGGAAGACTTACACAATTACCCAACTTGCAAAATTTACAAAATAATATTTGTATTTCAAATTACATAAGCCTACTTATGAATTGTAGCCGAAGAGGGGATCGTGTTACCTTATATTAAGGAGCAAAAACTTCCTTGGCGACTTGTGTTGAACGTGCGTGTCTTTTAAGGGTGTTCCGTTACAGTTTCCTGCTCCATCGCAGAATTACGAAGCTCTCCCGAAAAGGTATAGTGCATTTTAATCCAATTTTTGGTGCATTCAATTCTAATTTTTCACAAATTTACATAACGATTACGCAACCGTTACGAGAAGATTAACATCTGCCACTTTCTCCGCACGCGGAAGTCGGGCGTAATTAATGAACTTTCCATTTCCGCGCGCCACACTGTTTTTCTTTAACCGACCTCGTTTTGCAGAATGTGGGTTATTTCGGCGATCCTAATCGTCGCGATACTGGGACTGCTGGCGTACCTGGATACGAGGAAGCCGAAAAATTTTCCCCCAGGTCCCAGATGGTACCCGATCATCGGATGCGCGTGGCAGCTGAGCAAGCTGCGGAAGGCGACCGGGTGTCTGGCGAAGACGACGGGAGAGTTGGCGGCGAAGTACGGACCGGTCGTGGGGGTGCGGGTGGGTACCGATCGCATCGTCTTCGCCTACGGCTATGACGCGATCCACGAGTTCACCACGAGGGATGAGTTCAACGGGAGACCGGATGGAATATTCTACAGGACCAGGACGTGGGGGCAGCGGCGCGGCGTCCTCCTGACCGACGGGGAATTTTGGGTGGATCAACGCAAATTCGTATTGCGCCAGCTGCGCGAGTTTGGGTTCGGCAAGAAGAGCATGTCCGACATGATCCAAGGCGAAGGGAGCGCGATGGTCGAAAACATCAAGAAGAAGATCGAGGACACCGGTGGAGCTTGCGTTCTTCGCATGGACGACCTGTTTGGCATCCACGTTCTGAACACTCTTTGGACCATGGTGTCTGGGAACAAGTGCACCTCAGACGACAAGGAGATACGCAGTCTGCAGGTGATTCTAACCGAGTTGCTCGCAAAGGTCCACATGGACGGCGCCTTATTTAGTCACTACCCCATCTTGCGACACCTTTGCCCAGATTACTCTGGGTACACCATGTTCCATGGGGTCCACAAGCGGATGTGGAGGTTTTTCGCGTTGGAAATTCAGAAACTGAAAGCGACGTACAATCCGTACGATCTTCGCGGTTTCATAGACGTCTACTTGAAGATGCTGCACTCTCCGGAGAGGAAGGAGAGCTTCACCGAAGGGCAGTTACTGGCAATTTGCGTGGATCTCTTCGTCGCCGGCTCCGAAACCACGACCAAGACCCTTGGCTTCGCGTTTCTCTACCTCATTCTTTACCCGGACGTTCAAAGGAAGGCGCAGGAAGAAATAGACAGGGTCATCGGTAGAAATCGTCTGCCGAACCTGAACGATCGCCCACAGTAAGTATCTCTACGCGCATGTCCGTTATTAACGCACGCGCAGTTTGCAGTACGTAGAGTGTGTCGTCTTGGAATCGCTGCGTATGTTCGGCTGTCGCGCTTTTATTATTCCACACAGAGCGAGCAAGGACGCCTATCTCAGCGGATACCTGATACCAAAGGTAGCTCCACGAATTTCACTGGCTCGCACTCAGCTCAGTCAGCTCTTATTTCAGGATACGATAATACTGGGAAGTCTGCAGAGCACCCTTCTGGACGGAGGTTGGGCTAACCCCGAAATTTTCGATCCGGAACGGTACATCAAGAACGGCAGCATAGAAGTGCCCGATCGCTTCATACCGTTCGGGTTCGGCAAGCACCGATGTATGGGCGAAACGTTGGCGCGGGCCAACGTCTTTTTAATCATCGCGTGTCTGCTTCAAACCTTCAATTTTACGGCCCTGCCCAGCGAGCCTCCCACGACCGATTTCATCGACGGAGTCACGCCCGGACCGAAACCGTTTAAGGCGTTAGTTACACTTAGATAGTAGGTATAGTCTTGTTATAAAAAAAATAAAATGTGATCTCTAATATTCTCAACACTTTCGTTTGTTATTTGAAACTTGAAACGATGCCGCACAGAACGATATAAATGCTAGTAAAAAATGTTAAAAATTGCTTGCTCTAAAATATATTATGTAACGAATCTCAAAGAATCTCAAGATCTTATGAAGTCGTGTTTAAAAATTGGGCAGCCGCAAAAAAACATGCGCATTAAATACATCGAAGAAAATGCGCAAAAAACTACATCCTTTTTGCTATTAATAAGCTTTTCTGGTGCATTTTTTGGTATACGCATTGAATAAATGTTACGCATTAACCTAAAAAATTATAAAAATGCTCACCAAGTGGTCGAACTGGAATCAGGACCTGCATGCAGCACTTCACAAACGAAACAAAGCACTCCACTTAACTGCGCACCTAAATTTACGCAAAAATGAGTGAATTACATAAGTTGGGGAGAAACGTCAAGGTGTGTGGTTTGTGCTTAAAAATTGCGCAGCCGTCAATAAATGTGTCAATTATTTTTTGCTTTTTATAAGCCTCTCATGTGTCTTTTGCTATGCGCATTAAATAAATGGGGCATCCGTAAAAATGTGACAGTTATTTTTGATTCTCATAAGCAACTCATGTGCCTTTTTTGGTATGCGCATTGAATAAATGTTACGCATTAACCTAAAAAATTATATGCAGCACTTCACAAACAAAACAAAGCACTCCACTTAACTGCGCACCTAAATTTACGCAAAAATGAGTGAATTACATAAGTTGGGGAGAAACGTCAAGGTGTGTGGTTTGTGCTTAAAAATTGCGCAGCCGTCAATAAATGTGTCAATTATTTTTTGCTTTTTATAAGCCTCTCATGTGTCTTTTGCTATGCGCATTAAATAAATTGCGCAGCCGTTAAAAATGTGATAATTATTTCTGCTTTTTATAAGCCTCTCATGTGTCTCTTGGTATGCGCATTAAATAAATGTGGCATCCGTAAAAAATGTGACAGTTATTTTTGACTCTCATAAGCAACTCATGTGCCTTTTTTGGTATGCGCATTGAATAAATGTTACGCATTAACCTAAAAAATTATAAAAATGCTCACCAAGTGGTCGAACTGGAATCAGGATCTGCATGCAGCACTTCACAAACGAAACAAAGCACTTCACTTAACTGCGCACCCAAATTTACGCAAAAACGACTGGATTACATAAGTTGGGGATAAACGTCAAAGTGTGCGGTTTGTGCATAAAAATTGCGCAGCCGTCAATAAATGTGTCAATTATTTTTTGCTTTTTATAAGCCTGATATCATGTATCTTTTGGTATGCGCATTTAATAAATTGGGCATCCGTAAAAATGTGACAGTTATTTTTGATTGTCATAAGCAACTCATGTGCCTTTTTTGGTATGCGCATTGAATAAATGTTACGTATTAGCCTAAAAAATTATAAAAATGCTCACCAAGTGGTCGAACTGGAATCAGGATCTGCATGCAGCACTTCACAAACGAAACAAAGCACTTCACTTAACTGCGCGCACCTAAATTTACGCAAAAACGAATGAATTACATAAGTTAGAGAGAGCAATCAAGGTATGCGGGTAGTGTTTAAAAATTGCGTATCCGTCAATAAATGTGTCAATTATTTTTTGCTTTTTATAAACCCCTCATGTGTCCCTTGGTATGCGAATTTAATAAATGGGGCATCCGTAAAAAAATGTGACAGTCATTTTTGATTGTCATAAGCAACTCATGTGTCTTTTTTGGCATGCGCATTGAATAAATGTTACGCATTAACCAAAAAAATTATAAAAATGCTCACCAAGTGGTCGAACTGGAATCAGGATCTGCATGCAGCACTTCACAAACGAAACAAAGCACTTCACTTAACTGCGCATCTAAATTTACGCAAAAACAAATGAATTACATAAGTTAGGGAGAAACATCAAGGTGTGCTGGTAGTGTTTAAACATTGGGTATCCGTCAATAAATGTGTCAATTATTTTTTCCTTTTTATAAACCTCTTATGTGTCTCTTGGGAAGCGCATTAAATAAATGGGGCATCCGTAAAAAAATGTGACAGTCATTTTTGATTGTCATAAGCAACTCATGTGCCTTTTTTGGTATGCGCCTTGAATAAATGTGACGCATTAACCAAATAAATTATAAAAATGCTCACCAAGTGGTCGACCTGGAATCAGGACCTGCATGCAGCACTTCACAAACGAAACAAAGCACTCCACTTAACTGCGCACCTAAATTTACGCAAAAACGAATGAATTACATGAGTTAGGGAGAAACATCAAGGTGTGCGGGTAGTGTTTAAAAATTGCGTATCCGTCAATAAATGTGTCAATTATTTTTTGCTTTTTATAAACCCCTCATGTGTCTCTTGGTATGCGCATTAAATAAATGGGGCAACCGTATAAAAATGTGACAGTTATTTTTGATTCTCATAAGCAACTCATGTGCCTTTTTTGGTATGCGCATTGAATAAATGTTACGCATTAACCAAAAAAATTATAAAAATGCTCACCAAGTGGTCGAACTGGAATCAGGATCTGCATGCAGCACTTCACAAACGAAACAAAGCACTTCACTTAACTGCGCACCCAAATTTACGCAAAAACGACTGGATTACATAAGTTGGGGATAAACGTCAAAGTGTGCGGTTTGTGCATAAAAATTGCGCAGCCGTCAATAAATGTGTCAATTATTTTTTGCTTTTTATAAGCCTGATATCATGTATCTTTTGGTATGCGCATTTAATAAATTGGGCATCCGTAAAAATGTGACAGTTATTTTTGATTGTCATAAGCAACTCATGTGCCTTTCTTGGTATGCGCATTAAATAAATGGGGCAACCGTATAAAAATGTGACAGTTATTTTTGATTCTCATAAGCAACTCATGTGCCTTTTTTGGTATGCGCATTGAATAAATGTTACGCATTAACCAAAAAAATTATAAAAATGCTCACCAAGTGGTCGAACTGGAATCAGGATCTGCATGCAGCACTTCACAAACGAAACAAAGCACTTCACTTAACTGCGCACCCAAATTTACGCAAAAACGACTGGATTACATAAGTTGGGGATAAACGTCAAAGTGTGCGGTTTGTGCATAAAAATTGCGCAGCCGTCAATAAATGTGTCAATTATTTTTTGCTTTTTATAAGCCTGATATCATGTATCTTTTGGTATGCGCATTTAATAAATTGGGCATCCGTAAAAATGTGACAGTTATTTTTGATTGTCATAAGCAACTCATGTGCCTTTTTTGGTATGCGCATTGAATAAATGTTACGTATTAGCCTAAAAAATTATAAAAATGCTCACCAAGTGGTCGAACTGGAATCAGGATCTGCATGCAGCACTTCACAAACAAAACAAAGCACTTCACTTAACTGCGCACCTAAATTTACGCAAAAACAAATGAATTACATAAGTTGGGGAGAAACGTCAAAGTGTGCGGGTTTGTGCTTAACAATTGCGCAGCCGTCACTAAATGTGACAATTATTTTTTGCTTTTTATAAGCCTCTCATGTGTCTCTTGGTATGCGCATTAAATAAATGGGGCATCCGTAAAAATGTGACAGTTATTTTTGATTGTCATAAGCAACTCATGTGCCTGTTTTGGTATGCGCATTGAATAAAAGTTACGCATTAACCTAAAAAATTATAAAAATGCTCACCAAGTGGTCGAACTGGAATCAGGACCTCCATGCAGCACTTTACAAACGAAACAAAGCACTTCACTTAACTGCGCACCCAAACTTACGCAAAAACGACTGGATTACATAAGTTGGGGAGAAACGTCAAAGTGTGCGGGTTTGTGCTTAAAAATTGCGCAGCCGTCAATAAATGTGTCAATTAGTTTTGCTTTTTATAAACCTCTCATGTGTCTCTTGGTATGCGCATTAAATAAATGGGGCATCCGTAAAAATGTGACAGTTATTTTTGATTCTCATAAGCAACTCATGTGCCTTTTTTGGTATGCGCATTGAATAAATGTTACGCATTAACCTAAAAAATTATAAAAATGCTCACCAAGTGCTCGAACTGGAATCAGGACCTGCATGCAGCACTTCACAAACGCAACAAAGCACTTCACTTAACTGCGCACCTAAATTTACGCAAAAACAAATGAATTACATAAGTTGGGGAGAAACGTCAAGGTGTGCGGTTTGTGCTTAAAAATTGCGCAGCCGCAAAAAAAATTGACAATTATTTTTGCTTTTTATAAGCCTCTCATGTGTCTCTTGGTATGCGCATTAAATAAATGGGGCAACCGTAAAAAAATGTGACAGTTATTTTTGATTCTCATAAGCAACTCATGTGCCTTTTTTGATATGCGCATTGAATAAATGTTACGCATTAACCTAAAAAATTATAAAAATGCTCACCAAGTGGTCGAACTGGAATCAGGACCTGCATGCAGCACTTCACAAACGAAACAAAGCACTTCACTTAACTGCGCACTTAAATTTACGCAAAAAGGAATGAATTACATAAGTTAGGGAGAAACATCAAGGTGTGCGGGTAGTGTTTATAAATTGCGTATCCGTCAATAAATGTGTCAATTATTTTTTGCTTTTTATAAACCTCTCATGTGTCTCTCGGTATGCGCATTAAATAAATGGGGCATCCGTAAAAAAATGTGACAGTTATTTTTGACTCTCATAAGCAAGTCATGTGCCTTTTTTGGTATGCGCATTGAATAAATGTTACGCATTAACCAAAAAAATTATAAAAATGCTCACCAAGTGGTCGAACTGGAATCAGGACCTGCATGCAGCACTTCACAAACGAAACAAAGCACTTCACTTGAATGCGCAGCTAAATTTTCGCAAAAACGAATGAATTACATAAGTTGGGGAGAAAGGTCAAGGTGTGCGGTTTGTGCTTAAAAATTGCGCAGCTGTCAATAAATGTCTCAATTATTTTTTGCTTTTTATAAGCCTCTCATGTGTCTTTTGCTATGCGCATTAAATAAATTGCGCAGCCGTTAAAAATGTGATAATTATTTCTGCTTTTTATAAG